GTGTAAATGAAGCAGAAAGTCAGATTAGCAGCCTGGGACTTCGTCACAATTTTTGCGATGCTTTACCTAATTAATGATCGTACACCTAACTTAACCTGATCTTATCTTATTTTACCTAACCTAATCTATTCTTACCTCACTCTACCGGAATTCTACCCAGCCTTATCTAACCTCAACTAATAATGTTGGGATGTCCCATGTACTCACTCACTCCTCACTCAAGGATTCCCTAGTACCCAGGGTACTTCAACATTGGAAATAGAAATTAACTTGACAAACAACAGCTGGTTGTTTTTAACTTAAGCACTCCGAACAGGGTGGAAGATTGGCACAGCACTGACCCACATCTGGGCCTGGGGGCGAAAATGTAATAATAATAATAATAATAATAATAATAATAATAATAATAATAATAATAATAATAATAGTAATAATAATAATAATAATAAAATAATAACAATCATAAAATAATAATAATAATAATAATAATAATAATAATAATAATAATAATAATAATAATAATAATAAAGAAAAAAAAAGATCAAGAGCAAGAAACTATATGTATGTTGTGTTGTCAAAGTAAGAGACACAATTGAGACCCTGCAAGTGTATGTAAATGAGGCAGAAAGTCAGATCAGCAACCTGGGACTTGGTCACAATTTTTATGGTGCCATATGGCAGCAGGATCTACCATTAGACAACACATTATGCTTCCAATATCTTCCCAGACGGTAGTACCTCCCTGTTTGGTAGCTGCCTGCTACATACTCAGTATTTACCAATTACACTTCCAAATTAGATGATCTTCCACCAATCACATTTCAGGATGCAATCATTCTGTAAAATTATAAAATAGAAATGCGAGGCCTCACCATTTCCTCTAATATGTCATGGAAGCCACACATCCTCAACATTGCTAAAGCTGCCTTCCGAAAGCTGGGAATGCTGTACAGATTTCGTAGCAACTTCACTCCTGAGCAGTTGCTTCAAGTTTATAAGGGATTCACTCGTCCTAACTTGGAGTACTGCTCTCATATCTGGGTTGGCTCTTCTTCTGTCCAAATGTTAGATAGAGTAGAATCAAAGGCATTTCGTCTTATTGGCTCTCCTCCTTTAGTTGACAATCTTTCTTCCATTTCTCTTCGCCGCAATGTTGCTTCACTCTCTTTTACAGGTACTTTAACGGGCATTGTTCGGTGGATTTGGCATCCTGTGTACCGCCGGCAAGGCCGAGGGCTCGTAACACTCGTCTTGCCCACGGTGCCCACCGTTTCTCTGTGGATGTCGGTCACACTAGAAGAATCCGTTATAGTACCTCCTTCTTTACTCACACAGCCAAACTGTGGAATGCTCTCTCTTCTTCTGTGTTTCCATACTCATACAATCTGTCTCACTTTAAGAAGTTGGTTTTCCGGCATCTTCACCGTAAAACAAAAAATAAAAAATAACGTAAAATATGGAGATCTGTGTGGACGTCTCAATTCTAGCCTAATTTAACCTAACCTAACCTAACCTAACCTAACCTAACCTAACCTAACCTAACTTAAGCGAGATTAGCCTAACTTAACCGAAACTTAGTCTAATGTATGTGGATGAGAGTGCAGGTGTCCATTATGTCTTAACTGTGGCCCCAGTGTCATTCCCTGAGTGGCCAGCATGGCTGATCGGTGTCGAGGACATTCCATTGTTTGACCAGTACTTAGCCTGTTGCTTAAGTGATCATGTGGGGACTCTGGCGTGGGTTCCTGGTTTGATGTTACCTAACAGTTCAAACTTCAGAGTGGCCTATTGTTCTTGATGAGGTCCACTATACAGTACATGTCCATTATCGGTAAGTTAATAATGATACCGTTTGTATGTATCCAGCGAGGTTTGTTCATCTTCCTGTATTGCTTTAAAATATAATTTGTTAAGATTTTGCCCGCAGTGCCCACCGTTTGTGTGTGGATGTCAGTCACACTATAATAACCCGTTATAGTACAGTACATCCTTCTTTCCTCACACTGCCAAACCGTGGAATACTCTGCCTTCTTCTGTGTTTCCATACTTTACAATCTGTCTCACTTCAAAAAGCTGGTTTTCCGGCATCTTCGTGGTGTAGATTAATTTTGTCTTTTTCTCTTCTACCTTTAATTTCTATTTACTCTTATTCTCCCCCAGGGCCGTTGTGGGTCGATGACCTGTGCCCGGGTGGGCTATTCACTATAAAAAAAAACCCTCTAAATCCAAGATGGCCGCCAAACACACCATGAAATAGGAATTGTAACATAATTTCGCAAGTTTTCCTCATATAATGTTGATATTGGTGTCTTTTTATTGTTTGATGACATGGCGGTGCAAAAATTTAGGATAAATGAGAAAAGGTAATAAAAGACAATATAAAAAACAAAAAATTTATTTTACAGCATATATTTAGTGTTTACAATGACACAAAGGTAAATTTAGTTGTTTTCAGTAAAAATCAACATTTATTTGTCATTTACTTATTTATTTATTTGTTTATATATATATATATATATATATATATATATTTTTTTTTTTTTTTTTTTACACTGACTGGTCTTGGCATATAGAGCAAGAACCTGATGTGTAACGCCGTACATAAACACTAGACACGATCTTTCCCCCAGCGCCAGGAGTATTTTATGCCGAATTACAACATTGCACACGACTGATACTGTCTGGAATTCTCTGAACGTGCCCAAACACATATAAAGTTTAAACTCCGTGTAAGAACATGAAATATATTTTGTGTACTATTAGATTTATACACGTGAATATGGTGAACTTTATCCTTTGTGAATATTTTTGGATTTTCTAATATACAATGTTTATTATTTGTCCCAAGCATAAAGCCAGTTGTAATATTAATAAGGAATCATACGATTTGTTTATGGTGCCAAAGGCTTCCTTCTTTTCCTTTTCCCAATAATTCCCACTCTATAATCAAACCTTCACCCTGAATAGACATCTATAGTCTTCACTGCCCATCTCAAAACATTCGGACTGTTGACTCATCGGCTCCTGATTCTACGACCGGTATACTGTACAGCGAAGTCCTTAACGAATACCAGTTAAGCCAGACAACACTGTAGGTAGGGCTTTGCGTAGAGAAATTAGGAGCAATATATTACTTTGTGGGACCCATTGCTATGGTTTCTATCCCACACATACTGTGCTCGAGCATACTAAACCTTTCTCCTTCATTACATTATACAAGAAGTAGTAGCATTCTGCTGTCAAGGTTGTTATTTATGTTGTGAGGTATGCAAGGTACTCTGAACCCTAACGTTGCGGCCCCAAGCTTTTTCTTAAATTCGAATGATTACTGACCAAGTAAAACGCTACAACTACCTGGCTTGTTCACCAGTTTTGGGGCCGAACCATCTACCGCAAGTTTTAATCTATACATAAATATACAGTATTAAGTATTGAGTGCGCTACTTCCTGGTTTCAATAAGCAGCCTATTCCCGGGTAGAGTATTGCCTGGGGTATTGAGCAAATCCCATGGTGTGGGTGAAGACATAATAGGTTTAAACTGCTGATCATGATGCTTAACGGTAGCAACCTTCCCTTGGCAGCCACCACGCTGTTTAAGGCGGCGAAACTAGTCCAACTTGAAGACGTGTTTTTTTGTCTCAAGCGTCTCCCAAGGGTGGTGTGTGTGTGTGTGTGTGTGTGTGTGTGTGTGTGTATTATCTTGACCTTCCTATTACACTGGTATTTTATTTTGTTGCTGTACCAATTATGTTTCCTTCTCTTCTTCTGTGTATACTGTCCCTGTCTTTATGATACTGGTACTTAATTCAGTGGACAGTTACTTATTCTTCCTGCTGTTATAGCACCACTTCCTCCACTTGCCTGGTTTGTTATGAAATTTCTTTGTCCTTATTCTCTTTGTGGCTTTTTGTGTTATCTGTTCTACTTCCTCTTAAGACATTCATCAACTGCTTTCTGTCCCTGGGTTTTATTACACTTTTGTTCCTCATCATGTTTGGCGTTACTCTTTTATTTGAGTTTTCTACGTGTACTGGTTTCATTTAACTCATTTCATCAGTCAGGACGAAGACTGTTTCCAACTCCTCCTATAGACCTGATACTAATAGGTTACTTTACTGTTCCTTTGATATTTTTACAAGTGGACTAATGGTTTGTTTGTGGGTTTACGGGTAAAATCAAAACAAGCATGAGTATTGTATCTCATCAGTTTACGCTTCGTCGTTCCTGTTCTTGTTTTGTTTGATTCATTCTTCATGTTCTTATTATTATTGTGTCGTAATATTTAACGAGGAAGTGAACCATATTTAAAACCTCTCAGATATTGTAAAGATGTCTTCTAGTACAAGTTCCGGTTCTCTGAGACTAAAGACAACTAGTTGGGATTACTTTTACTAATTATTATTATTATTATTATTATTATTATTATTATTATTATTATTATTATTATTATTATTATTCAGATTTTTTTTCGAATTCTTAGTGTGCAAGTGAGAGGATTAGTGGCTTGAATAATGTCTTTGTATTCAGACAAGGCACAATAGGGTAAATTTCAAAGATACATTCAAAATCTTGAAAGTGATGGAAAACGTGAACCCGAGAATTTTTTCAGTGTCGCACACCAACACGAGGGGATATAACTTCAAGTTCGCCAAGGTATCATGCAGAACGAACATAAAGAAACACTTCTTCACACGGAGGCTGGTACATCTATAGGACAGTCTACCAGATCAAGTTGTGAAATCTAGAGCAGTATTGGGTTTCAAAATAGCCCTAGACAAGAATATCAAGAACAATAGAGGGGTCCTACACAGGCATGTCCACCTCTAGTGGGTGGCCATTAGGTAAATAAGGTAGGTAAGAAGGTAAATGAATCCAAGCATATCTGGTCACTAGCTAAGGGCGACAGTAAGAATGTGACAAAAATTACAGGCGTTGGCAACTCTCATAGCGTCCATGTCACCCTCGAGCCGTAGACAAAGGTTAACCGATAACCAACAAAGTGAGATAAAGATGTGCGCGCGCAGCTACTTAAGTGTTCTCTATATATGCCACAACTTGTTGCTGAGAGTCAGTTGTCTCATCTTCTACAACATGGTAAGGTACAGTACCTTCCACAACTGTAGTTCTCTCCTCTCACACAAAATTACTAATGGACTGGGGGAATGGAGTAGACGATAGTTTGTGTTGATAGTGTACTGTAATCTGTTTCTGTTTGATGGTGTATATATCGTAGATTACAATATAATATATTAGGTCTTCTGATACGGTTAATGGCAATAATAACCCTGGTATTCTAGCACACTGTTTATCTCCATGTTATTCCTCACCCTTACAGAAGTGCAACGCTGTAGTCCTGCTCTTCGTGGGTGCTTTTGCCGCCACTGCCGGCGCAGAGATTAAACGCCCAGGCCAGGACGGACATGGCATTCGTCTTGATGGCCCCAGTGGAGGTTTTAATGGTGCAGGAATTCGCCAAAAACCAGGTGGAAATGGCCATGGCATTCGTCTTGATGGCCCCAGTGGAGGTTTTAATGGTGCAGGAATTCGTCAAATACCAGGTGGAAATGACCATGGCACTCGTTACGGCACAGGTGGAGGTTTTAATGGTGCAGGAATTCGTCAAAGACCAGGTGGAAATGGCCATGGCATTCGTCTTGACGGCCCCGGTGTAGGTTTTAATGGTGCAGGAATTCGTCAAAGACCAGGTGGAAATGGCCATGGCACTCGTTACGGCACAGGTGGAGGTTTTAATGGTGCAGGAATTCGTCAAAGACCAGGTGGAAATGGCCATGGCACTCGTTACGGCACAGGTGGAGGCTTTAATGGTGCAGGAATTCGTCAGAAAGGTGGGTTTAATAATGATGGTAACAAAAAATACTGAAACCTCAGCGCAGTAAGTTTTTCATACCCTACAATGTGTCAAATAAACTCTGAGGCAAGATATAGCCAGAAGTGCCACAGTAACACTAACAGAAGCACTGTACACTCGATCCGTAAAACCGTTGAGGCTACATCGATATTTCCATAAAATTAATCGACATTATAAATCTATAAAAGAGAAGCATATATAGACATGAAATTAATTATCAACAATGATATATCTACTTTCATGAATATGTATTAATCATTAAGTTAATGTTCAACTTTGACTCTTTCAGTTTAAAACACGTTAACTGGAGAACCTGTCTGCTGGAGTCGATCTGTTGGCAATATGCTGTGTGAAGCCTCTGCCGATGACAACACTTCCTAACTCCAGACCCAATGCAACCTTCTCTTATTATTATGACCAAGTTTGTTATACTGATGAAAATATGTTCTTCCATAATTATAGAGAAATATTTACTTAAGACTCCGACCAGTTGTGTTGTTGTCGTTTAGATATGCTGGCCGTGAACACCTGACATGGCTTGGTGGTAGAATACTAGTGTAAGTCGTTACAACTCTGATGAGTGTTTTTACTAAAGCTGGTTAGCAATTTGAAAATAAAGATTTACAGTGAGAACAAAATACACATAACAGCAAACTAAATGTTATAATATTGACGTAATGTACAGTATAATCAATGCGAATGTTTTCAGATCCAGCATTTGATCACATAACTGTATACTATGTATGACCACCACTCTTATGTAGAAATTATATCACATGAAAATAAAATTTATTAGATGTTGAAATAACATTAAACTTGAAAACATTTTATTATTTTATGTATTCCAAATATTATAATATCATGCCCAACTGCTTCGCCTTAAGAATTACCACGAATAACTATAATCAAGTTAGAGAATAGAAATAAACTGGATCCTGAAAATATTGAAATTAAATGGATCTCGGTACAATAAATGTAACCTGGGAATGCTGTACAGATTCCGTAGCAACTTCACTCCTGAGCAGTTGCTTCAGGTTTATAAGGGATTCATTCGTCCTAACTTGGAGTACTGTTCTCATATCTGGGGTGGCTCTTCTGTCCAACTGTTAGATAGGGTGGAATCAAAGGCATTTCGTCTTATTAACTCTCCTCCTTTAGTTAATAATCTTTCTTCCCTTTCTCTTCGCGGCAATGTTGCTTCACTCTCTCTCTTTTACAGGTACTTTAACGGGCAATGTTCGGTGGATTGGCATCCTGTGTACCGCTGGCAAGGCCATGGGCTCGTAACACTCGTCTTGCCCACGGTGCCCACAATTTCTCTGAGGATGTCGGTCACACTAGAATAATCCGTTATAGTACCTCCTTCTTTACTCACACAGCCAAATTGTGGAATGCTCTACCTTCTTCTGTTTCCATACTCTTACAATCTGTCTCACTTTAAATAGTTGGTTTTCCTGCATTTTCATGGTGTAGATTAATATAATATTTTTCTTCTCTATTTTTAATTTATTTTCCTCTTTTTTTTCGACTCCCCTAGGCTCCGTTGTGGATCGATGACCTGTGCCCGGGTGGGCTATTCCCCGTAAAAAAAAAAAAAAATACAATACTAAGAACATTTATAAAATAATAGAATAGGAATTTGACGAGGGTATTTTATTAACATGATCTATTTAAAAATTTTATCAATGTGAATTACTGCATCTAACATAGCTACCGAAAAAAATATGGTTCCGCAAAAGTCTGTGCAGTAACATACATAATTATTATCAGTATTACCATCAAGAGCTGAATCAGTTACTTGTGTTGAGAATATTTATATTACCCAAGCAATCAAATCTGAGGGCTGGCAGTTACAAACCTACACTATAAACGTTCTCGGGCTGTTTTTGCTAATCTAAGGTTTTGTGTTTCTTTTGGGAGATACAAAACAAAAATTTACGCAATATATATTTGTTTTAAATAATGCTATAACTTAATCCAGATGATCTTTATACGAAAATAGGAAAACAAATGTATAAATCCCACATACAAATTATTGTCACCAGCTCCGGTGTTTGTTGTATTAATTATTTCTTAAATGGCTACAAACTCAAACAGAGTTCTATCACCGACTTTTATGGCTGCTGCGTACCAAAATTGCCAGTGTCCATTATAGGCTATAATATAACATCAGGCAGTGCTCAAGCATAACATCTTCGGACCCCGGTATTTTATCAAGCATCTTTACTTTACGTTTATCCTCTTCACCAAATGATCGACTCGTTAGCCGCTTGGGCGATCGGTCACGTCTCTGTTACGCACTGTTGGCAAGTACTGGGCATGCAATGGCTCCTGAATGTACCTGAACCTGCTCCAGTGTTGGTCAAGTCTTGTCTTGAAAGAGCTCACACTCGGTACCGTCACAAAACTCTGGTAGATTGTTCCAAGAGTTCACAACTCTCACTCCGAAAAAGTTTGCCCTCACAGTTTTATGGACTTGCGGCTTCTTAAATCTTGAGCTGTGACCAGGGCCGGATTTACCAATAGGCCAAATAAGCCATTGCCTAGGGCCCACCGGTATCTGGGGGCTCACTGAAACTAATTTGTCGCGCAGCATGCCAGCGTATAACCTTGTTTCAAGTGTACACCGAGTATTTCATTATATAACATATTCACAACCATAAGGGCCCCTGTACAATAAGTATGGGGCCCCAGTACAATAAGTATAGGCCCGCAGTGGTCTTCAACTGGTGGGCCATGGCCCATTAGCGGGCCATGGGGTGGTTCTCAGGTGGGCCACGGACTAGGCCCTATAGTAAAATGAAGAAAATAACATAAAATAAGATAATTTAAAAAAATATATATATATACATTTTTCAAATGTCCGTGTCCCACCATCGTTCTATCTATTTATCTATCTATCTATACATACATATATACTGGAGAGAGAGAGAGAGAGAATAAAGTTCAAGAAACCTTCAGCACTTTGACGTGTGAAGGACAGGATCGTTTCACGTTCAGTACGTGTCAGGGTTACCGTTGGTTTGCTGACAGCTCAGCCAGTCAGTATCTTCTCAGCCTCAGCTCAGTGATATTTTATATTGTGTACGC